TTTCCCTACTGAACCGACCGTATTTTCCTCTTTCTTGTAGGCTTTTTCCACATTACTAGAAACCAGCAGGTAGCTCTCTTGTGCCCTGGAACATTGTCACTTACGTGCCAGCTCATTAAGGATCATTGAGATGACTGTTTTACTACTGTTTCTGTGATAATGCTATGTAAATGGCAGAAATGAGTTGAGCTGCCCCTCACACTACCCAGTCCATTGGTCTTGAATAGCTAAGGACTGGATGAAGCTGGAAAGATAACTTTAAAACAATTCCAGAACTTTTTATTTATGTGTCATTATCATCATGCTTTTTTTACAGGAGATCCCTATCAATAGCCTCTTTGGAATGCTCTTAAGACCTGGTCCCAGTGAATTAATTCCCAAGTGCAACACCTGATTGTATAAGAAGTATTTTCTTTACTCTGAGTTCCCCACTTGATTTAATTGAGCTTTCTTCTTTTTTGAGCAAGGGAGAGGCACTCCAACTATCTTCTCTGTGCCATTCATTATCTCAGGTAGGGTATTGACTATGGCTAAATTTGCATGGCATGTGCCATTATAAGACAAATTTCAGGTCAAGTACTTCTGAGAATGAGGCGACTCAGGTTAAAAAAAAATAATTGTAATAACCTCTTTTCTTTAAGACGTTTCAGTTTCCCTACGACCTGAGGCATGGCATTGACAAGTGTCAGGGAGATAGCTGTTATGTCAGTAATGGGCTTCTTGCCATCCCAAGGAAAAATCTGTCTCCAACAGGTCCAAGCAGGTGAGCCTCCAAAGCTCATTTCTACTCAGTAGAGATATGCTAGACCTCTGTGTGGAGTTTTCTTGAAGATTTTCTCTGTGCTGAGGATGCTTGAGCCTAAGGCTGAAGTAGATGGAAAAGATGCCCCCCTCCTATGGTTGGGGCTCTGGCCTGCTTTGGGCCAGGACAGCAGTAAAGACAGACGGACTGACTCGCCTCTCTTCTTGGTGATCATTTTCCACACTCCTCCGATAGCTTCCAGGGAGGGTGGGAGTGGTGTCTGCATGATTTGGATGCAGAGGGAGCAAAAATTAACCTTGAGTCTGAAGAAAAAGAAATGATGGAAAGGAAAAAACCCTAAACTACTAAGGAGCAGGAATTTGAGTTTGAAGGGGAGAGAGAGAGGGCCTGACTGTGCAGACAGTAGCAATCACTGTGGTAGAGGAAAGAAATCAGGGAAAAAGAGGAAACACTAGTGATAAAACAAGGCAGAGGAGGACAGAAACTACCTAATAAAAAGGCTGGGGAAAAGGACACAGACATGGTCTGGGGACAGAGACTGACTGGGATCTGGAGGGGAACTGAAATGGGAAAGAGGAGTTGATGAATGATGGACTGCAGGGACAGGACTGCAGGGAGAAGTCAAGGGGAAGAAAAGCACAGAGGCAAAAGGAGCGCAGATTGTGTGAACCGCGTGAGGAAGTAATGGGACTGGAACAGGACAAGTGGTGGAAGGAGTCAAGCCTCACAGGAACAAGTCTACGTTCGTTAGTGCATCTCCCCTTCTTCCCCAAACTGATATCCCTGTGCCTCATACTCCTCTGCTGTCAGCCAAATCCATGAGCACAGCATGTGTCTTATTCCTTTTAGAGCAGGACCAACAAGATGACAACACAACCGATCAGCTTTCCCATCCATTCAACTGACAGAAGATCTCATATTTCCAACTACGAATATAAGCATTATCTCACCATATGACTGACTTACATTACTACTCTGCTTTTGTAACAACCTTGAAATTTATCCAAGCAAAAAATGAAGCTAAAAGAACATCCTTAGAGGTGCACAAATAAACATAAAGAAGCTACAAAATGCTGGAGTTGCAGTAGCCCACAACGCAGTGTAGCACAGTCTTTGAGCCCCGAATTACCAGTTCTTTTTCCCTAGGGCCCTCCTTGTCCAGTGCACAGGATAAATTGTGCTTCACTACAGAGGAACTGATTGATGTATTGCCTTTTTACTTGTTCAGTGTGTGGCCCCAGACCTCTATTAAAGCTCTTCACCAAAGACATTTCCTCTTGAGCTCTTCTTTTCTTTAAAATCTTAATTTATTTTCTTGTGTTTCTACAAGATGAGGGTCTTCCCCTTCTCATTCACAGAGAAGTGGAGAGATATTAAGGGAAAAAGCATTTTTGGGTACCTAGTCTAGGTCAAGTAGGAGATGATTTTTTAGACTGTGTCTTTAAATGGTTCTTTATACAGTTCCACAGTGAAAGTGCACTTAAAATTGTAACTGTGAGCACCAGGTTCTTCTGTAAATTAAAGTCCAGAGTCTCAAGCTGGATATTGAGGGAGCACTTGTGAAAAATCTGTTTTAAGTGACTTGCCTGCCATTGCACTGGAATTACGTGGCAGTCAGAAAGCTTCAGCTCCTCAGCCCTCTACCGCCTGAAGCAAGACCATCCTTCACCCTTCTACAGCTCCCCACCTCAAATGGTATGCAAACTGGGGAACAGTTTAGTGAATCAGGTAGGGAACAAACCCTGGGACAACGGCCTGCCTGTTGCATTAGTAATTCTGATGCATCCCTAGAACAATTCCATTGGGAATGCACTGAAAGAAGGATGAGAAAAAAAATCATGATTGCGTGATTTTAATCACAGCGTCTATCGTTACCACAAAGTACATGTTCTAAGAGGAACGGCATACAGTTGAAGAAGCAGGTATTTTTCTAGCACCTCCTAACTTAAAAGGGCTTCTTCCATGTTGCTTTTATTGTGTAGTGCGCTTATCCACATGGGGAAATTGACTGGAATAACTATTGTGGGGTAGAGTACCCCTCAATAGTTATTCTAGAATATTTTTTTAATAAGAATGTCCACAAGGGAGGCTATTCTGGATGAGTCATTGAAAAGTAACTTATTCTGCACTAGCTATTTTAGTCAATTTTCCCACATAGGCAAGGGGTAACTTTATGTACTTTTAACATGAAGCCTCTTATTTGTCTTCTTCCTACAAGCTTGTCTACAGGAGAAAATTTACTGACAGAGCAATAGCGGTATATTTATATCACTATAATTATATCTGTATCTATATATTTTATGTACTTACAGCTACCAATGCAGATATTTTTATTCCAGAACAAAAGTATTCACACTGGAAGTTATACCAGCATAATTTTACCACTATAGCTCTGCTAGTAATTTCCCCATGTAAACAATCTCTGAAATAATCTAACCAAGATTTTTCCACATTTTCCCTTGCATGACAGTTTCTCCAAGCCCTTCATAAGCTTGTATCAGTCATATATTTTACATTACCAATACCGCGTGAGCTATAGTGTTTGTTTACTTGAAATATGTACATGGAGTATCTTTGAACAAGGTCATCCAACACATTCAGATTTTTGCAGATGTGCAAAAACTGTTAATGCTTCTCATGTATACTTTTAACCTGTTGTTTTTACTACGTAAAGACCGAAGTTAATGCTGATAAGGTAATAGCAAAGACTCTGAACTCTGCGATCTGGAAGAAAGGGCTGTTCAGGAGGTTATAATCCTAACACTGAAACTCCGTTATTTCACTGCAGTGTGCTTCTGTCTCCTTTCCCACATGTTACAGTTTGTTCTTGTTTAAATCGTGCAAGTTTTTCCTGGCAAGAAAGGTCTCTCGCTCTAGACTTGGGTAGTGCTAGGGTTTGTAAAATGGTTTGCTACGCTACGCAAACAAACAGTAACGAACAAGCAGCCTAACCAAAAGTAGGAAGAGCTGTCTGCCCACCAAATTCTGAGCAATATAATTCATTTTATTGACTCACGCAAAAACTTCTGATTTCCAAAAATATAAACTACATTTCAGTTATAACAGTTACCCTCGTAAGTCAATTAACGGCTGCTACCATTTTTATGACCATTTTTAGCATCAATTATAACTTCTCAAGGCATGTTTACCTTAAGCCCCATCCATGACGGCGCTTAGCAGTTCTCCCTGGTAAGAGTCACTCTACTTAGCAATATACAATCTACTATATGGAAAAAAAAGGGAGGGAAAGCAGATCAGGAAACTCAGCAGTGAGGAGGACAAACAGAGGGGAGAATTAAGGAGAGCCAGGGAGCAATACTTACTGCTGACTAACTGGCCAACACTCAAAGCTGAAGAGGAGGAGGATGAGGAGGAAGAAGAGGAAGCCTGACGCACTGGGCTTTGAGACATAGATGCTTGACTGTGAGCCAAATGCAGGAGATTGGATTGTGAGGCTGCTTGTCCCACTTGCGTCTGGGAGGGCTGATGGAGCTATATGTTAAAATGTAAAAATAGGTATTTAGAAAACGAAGCAGTAATAGGAAACTTTCAATGCACCATCTCACCCGTCTACTTCTGGGCAACAAATCCCATAGGAGCATTAAATACCATGGACTTCGTTCAGGTGACAGAGTGTTACAGCAGGAGAAATCTGAACTTTTTGAATGCTCACTTTCCATTTTTTCCTCAGTTTAAAGCAGATACTTAATCTAATTAGAAACTAAATACTTGTTTGAAATGGGTGATAAGAGACCTATGACATTCACAGCGGCATTCTGATTTAATAAATACATGTCCTTACCTGTTTTCTGACTCATGAAGTCAGACTTTTATTCCCTACATGGATTCTCATACAAATCAGCATTGTTTCAGAGAGGTCCTTTCATACTGCAGGACCAGGGTCAAGAAGAGCGGGAATGGGGAAGAGAAGATAAACTAGAGGAAAATCCCTTTCCTACAGAAAGGAATAATTTGTTTTATGACATTAGATCTAGCAAACAAACCAAGATGTTGAAATCTTATTTCTCAATTGACAAACTGTCCTTGCCTAAAACACACAGTGAAGCTTCTGAGCCCCATTCACATCGGACTGTGTCAAGTAAGACATGCCTAAAAACTGCAGTGAGTATGGCAGATGCAAATGTACACTGCATTACATGAGTCTAGCTTTACAAATATTTTTTTTTTTTACAAATTTTACAACAGCTAGTCTTTGGTTGTTCATTAGGGGAGAGGAAAGAACTCTTCTGCCTGTAATAAGCTTTCACGTGGGATTGAAAACTACGAACATTCTCTGGTACTGATTTTTACATAAAACTCCCAGCAAATTCAAAGGGCAGTCTCTCTACAGAATGAAGGTACACAATGGACCTTACAGTTTTGAATTGGCTTCTAGTAGTCCAGTACAGCCCTTTCAGAGCCTAATAATACACTAATATAGTCCTGATACACTCAGGTGACTGCTACTTATTACACCTTTATTTTATGTTGATTCTTGATATCGATCAAAAAAGATTGCAAAAATGTACTAAAAGGCTTCACTTTTAAGTGATAGCTGTTATCAGCATTCTCAGAAAGGGAGAAAGATAAAGGCCTATTTGGCCTTGCTTGAAGTCAGTAATTTAAATCTATTTCTTGAATTCTAAGGAGTATGAGTTTTTCTCTTTTGATATTTAACTGAACGAATGACTTCAGAAAAGGAGCTGAATTCATTAGTAATACTCAAATTATATATAATGTGCTCCCCAAACACATAGAAATGACTGATGCTAAGTAGACAACAAATTGTATGGCACAGTAGATAAAGGTATCTGATCACATTCAAGATGACATTTTTCTGTGGAATACATATGAACAATTTTAATGACATTATTCCTGTTGTGGGTCTGTTTAAGAATGGAAAATATTAGAACTCCTTTTTCTACCTCCCACATGGAATGATGTAACACAAAATGAAGCAAGAAACTTTAATTTACCCTTGTAATAAAAATGAAAATTATTTATCTGACCAGTTTTAGCCTATTCTGACTTCCCTAGGGTACAATAAACAAAAACATTTTATTATCTCAAGGAGTTTTTTTTGGATCAAGCACATTTTAAAAAAGAAACCCGGCACTTTATCAAAGGAATAATAGTTGAGAAGCTGACTGAAAGGCTTCCAGATTTCAGACTCATGATAGCACTGGGCATCTTTAAAAAAATTTCACTAAGGGCTGGATTTTATCTATTGAGAGCTCCCAACCCAGAACATCTACTTTTATAATATCTTCTCCTAGGGGAGCAGCCCACTAGGAGGGCTGGCCTCCTCGGAACGCTGCAGAGATGGATTGCCCATCCATTACGCCCACATCACTCCAGACTGCAGCTTTCAGAAACAGGCAGGCGTTTGGGCTCTGGGTCTGTCGTCTGAAGGAATCTCTGGTAAAACTAAAGATTTCAGCCTAAGCAAGGGAAGAAAATGACTGTATTTAGATGAGTTAGATGCTTTCACACTATCTGGAAGAGTCTTAAAGATGTTAGTGCTTATCTGTGAGGATGGAGGAGCAAATGTGGTAGCTATCTTTAAAAAGAAAAGATTTGCAAAATTATAGTCCAGTCAACGAAACTTCAGCCCATGGAAAAGTACTGAAGAAAATAATCAAACAATTTGTAAGCACCCGCAAGAAAACAAGGTAGCAACAGACAACATGGATTGTTAGGAACAAACTGTGTCAAACCAATCTGATCTCCCTCTAAGACAGGGTAATTGGCCTTGTGGACAGGGAAAAAGCAGTAGGTGGTTTGACTTTACAAGTCTGTCGACACTCCCTCGTGTGACATTCTTTATAACCTAGGGAAACATAGTTTAGATGGAACTGCTGCAGAATGAATGCAGAAGTAGTTGGAAAACAAAACTGAGAGGATAGATATCTATCTGTGGAAATGGAAGCGTGCACGTACGGTACTTCACAGAAGTCTGTCCTCGTTCTGCACTACTCAGTATTTTCTTAACGACTTGGATGATAGAGAAGAGAATACGCTTACTGAATTTACATGCCGATGACATGCTGGGAGGGGTTTTTGATAGGCTGGAATACAGGATTAGGATTCAAAATGATCCTGGTCAGTTTGAACATGCCAATCCTGGTGCATGCCAATCCTGGGGTGTTGCACAAGTGAAGAAAAGGCAACTCCTGTACCAAGCTGTGTGAGCGGGAGCGATGTCTGCAGTGTGTGTGAAGAATCTGCTTTTCTACTAAGCACTGGAAAGACTCCGCAGGGCAGGCAGCATGTCCACAGCTACCTGCCACACTTCAGAAAAAATCTGGACCAAGTGGAGGAGAATAATTAGAGCGGTTGAAGGCCTGGGAGTTATCTGAGGCTTACGAAGACACCTGGAATGAACTGGTCATGTTTAATCTAAAGAAGGGAAGACTAAGTGGCATATGATGCCTGCCTCAAATACAAGCAGAGCTAATGAAAAGAGGAGAGAATGAGTCTGTCTTACGTTTCATAGTGGAGTGAATGAGGTGCAATAACCTGGTAGATTCAAATTAGATGCTGGGAAAAGCTGTCTAACGTGGCAGTGAAGCACTCACATAAATTACTGGGGGAACCTGTGGAGTTCCTATGAGAGTGCTTAGGAACAAGTTAGACAAATACTGGAATAGCTACTCTGCCCGAGAACAACAGAGTGGACTGGATAATCTCTTGAACCTTGACCTTCCAGCCTTAATTTTTTATGATTCTATGCTATTCCCTGTTAGTATTTCTCAGGGAGAAATACATGATCGTGTAAGACACAGATGGCAAATCCAACATTTTCCAGCCATTCTACACATATAGTCCCTGAACAGTTCAAGTGCTGAGCACGTACACAATGAGTCTGAAGCTTCCAGGAAGCAGCAGAACGAAAGGACATTCCGCATTCTCCAGGCGTGAATCCAAAGCAGGCACGCAGCCACGGCCACTATGTGGCACATGCACAGTATGCTGCTAAAGTCTAGGAAATGTTTGATTCTCTGCACATGTATTGCACAATGCATTGGCAAATGTGTTTTTGAAATAACTGGGATACCCAGAAGCTTGGCTGTTTTCTTGTCAGACATCCAGAAATCTTTGTACAAATGGAAGAAATTCTCAAAATTTAGCTGGGCAAAAAAGGATACAGCTAGCGACATCTGGATGCACAGTGACCTTAGGTAACAGCAATATATAAGGCATATTTACAGATTGTTGGTTTCTAACTCAAGGTGTAGTAGTAATATATAAGGCATATTTACAGATTGTTGGTTTCTAACTCATTGCTTTTGAAGGAAAAGGGAGCAATGGGGTTGGAAAGGCTGAGGAGTCACCTTAAGGCCTGACCAGGGACTGAGGGAGGATTCCATCTTTAACTCCCTCCATAATTTCCAGCACACCCCCTGTTTTATAGACATGACGGTTAAGCTGTAAATGTCCTGCTTAAAGAACAATGATAGTTATCTATGTCATGAAATTGCATTAAAATACTCTCTCTCTTTTCATCCACTATAATTTCCACTCCAGAAATAGCCTTAAGGAGAGGAGACGATTAGATTACGAATTAGATTCTAGATGACAGAATCAATTCGAAATTGGAATAGCCGACTTTTCCCAATTTTGGACACGTACATATGATATGAATTATATTTATGACTGTTGTACATTTTCCATCCAAAGACAGAAGGAGGCACAGAAATTACAGAAGACGTTGCCGTAAGTGCCATTCCGTGTAGGTGGATATAGTAGACATGCCGAGAATGATGACTGTATGCAACACTGATCAGTATCTGGCAGGAATACATGTATGCACACTACAGCTAGAGGAATAAGATGAATAAGAGAAGCATAAAGTGCAGCATAATACTTTATAAGAATAAACTGAAAAAATGCAAAGGGCCTAATTCTTATTTCTTTTACATCAGTTTTACATGCTACTGTCAACAGTGAAGGTAGTACCTATTGATAATTGGAGAGGGGAAGAATGAATTAGGTTTGTAAGACTAAATTTTTTCTTAAATTATGTATGTAGGATATTCCTACACCTGGGATGGTTGAGTGGAGTCCTGTATTAAGGTCTTCTTATGACATTGGGGATGTTGATCCTTGCATCCAGAAAGTTACACGATAGTGATAGAGTAACAAAGTATTTTGCATAAGATAAGGAAAGAGAAAGAAACCAAGTGGAAATAAAGAACAAACTTTTGAGAGAATATTGCCCTGTATCATAACAGAACTGCTACTGGTTTTACAGAGAGTCTGGACAAACAGCAAGGGCAAAATATGGCCCTAATGGAAGGGAGAAGAAAGTAATGGGTTTAAATTGCAGTAAGGGAGGCTAGGGTCAGGCATCAGAAAGACCTTTCTAATGCTAAGGAGAGTGGCCTAAGTTGCCTAGGGATGTCAGGGAACCTCCATCACTGAAGGTTTTTAAGAACAGGTTAGACAAACATCTGTCAAGAATGATACAGGGACAGTTGATCCTGCCTAGG